TTTAAATCAAAATATCATTTTGTCTTCAGTCGAGACGATGTTCTAATTGGCCTCTCATAAGCAGTGTGTTTCAAAGTAAAACAGCTCGTAGTTAAAAAAATAAAAGTGAGTCATTTTCAGTGTCTCATTTTCATTAAGTTTTTTTTACCTGACTTTTGGACATTGTTTAGATATTTGCTTGTTTTCTCTTTACATTTTCTAGTATTTTACTTCTAGCGTTTTCACTGGTATTTTGGCGCAGATAGCCTTGTTGCTTTGCGTTATTAAACACAAACCAACCAACCATTGGATGTTTCATGACATCTAATTTTCACCTGAGATGCATTTCATGTCTCAGTGGTGTCTCACGTTTCTAACAGCGTACACAATTTTCGCCACGGCTATACATTGTGTACTATATCACCAATACAGATTATGTAAAAGCTATCTAGGTGTCAGGTGAGCATAGCACACAAAACAAATAAAAACAAGATGTGACGCTCCACACTACACAATGATTGATATGTGCTCTTCCCACTACTTGTATGGAAACTGTTTATAGGGTCATTTCAGACTTACTACTGAGCCTCAGTAGAGGGGGGGGGGGGGCTCAAGTGAATCAAACATTGGAAATATCTAGGATCCATAATGTTATGTTTTTAAATGTGTTATTAGGCATATGCATTTTGAATTGCCCCTTAGTGGCACAGCGGTATGTCTGCGGACTTACAACGCTAGAATCCGGGTTTCGATACCCGTGGTGGGCAGAGTACAGATAGATAATTGTGTAGCTTTGTGCTTAATTACAAACAAACATACATTTTGAATTTAATTTAAATAATTAATTATGATTAAGCTTTAAAAAATGCCCCTCGGTGTGTGAAAATAAAAAAAAATTGACTGGAGTTTTAGAATCATTAAGGAATGGGCATAACAACGGCATTTTTTTTATATGTGTGAATAAAATGTCAGCATTCAATTTGAACTCATTTAAGATGGGTCCTGTCTGGACGGAATGATTCGTCAAGCTACAACTTAAATCCTATAAAACCCTAGCCGGTGATAAAAATATTAATATGCAATATCAATAGTGCTGTTATTTTCAATTCAGGAAATAGCTTGTGAGAGAAACCATTTCATAAAACATGTATGGTTCAAGTGATTTAATTTTGTATACGGTATTTCAAAACATATCACTGGTACTGTTTCTAATTGCTTTCACGCTAAATATTTGTTTTAATAAATTATTAGCAGGAAACTTTATATTACTAAATTAATATTAAATATTTTTCGTGATATTCTTTTGTATTTGTATCAGTTTGTTTAAATCAGCATGAACAACTCATCTATATTCAGGCTAAGAAATAATTATTGTTTATTTGTATAATAGAACTAATTCTATTTTGATTTCTAACTAGAATAACCGATGTAGTTCATATTCCACTGGATTTTTAAACATTTTTCTAAATCATTTTGTCCTCCAGTAGCTCAGCGGGAAAGTCTGAAGGCGTATAACGCTAAAAACCGCGTTTCGATACCCGTGGTGAACACAGCACAGATAGCCCATTGTGTAGTTATGTGCTTAACAACAAACAAAACAAAAACTAAAAACATTTGCCCCAAATTGCTTTGTTAGGTACAGAGTTACTAATAATATACGAATCACACACACACACACAAGCATAAAAAACAACATCAATATTAAAGAGGCCAACATTAAAGGGCGAATGCAACATGTTTCTGCTACGCAATCCCAACATGGCCAATTTTGACATCAGAAAAATCGAAAACTGTTTATATCACTGCCTTGGGCCTACAAAAGATATCTTTGTACCAAATCCTATGTAAGTTGGTTGACATACACATGAATAGTTCACGAAAACCTCAAATTGGGCTTTCCCTCGCTGAAAAATTGAGCAAAAGACAAAAATTCCAAAACTGTCTATACTTCTGTTTTGGACCTGCAAAGAGTATCTTTATAAATCCGTCCGCGTTGATTAGTCGAAATGGACCAAAATCTCTAAAATTATGCTTTTTACTGCCTTTTAATCCCCCTAACATGGTCAAAAAATGGGCATATCCCACATTTTTATGTGTATATGTATGGGACCTCTACAAAAGTATTTTAGAATCAAATTCCATATAAATTGGTCCAAGCATGGCCTAGTCCCAAAAGTCCCCAAAATATGATTTTTTTCTGAGCTCCCCCCCACCCCCCAATAAA